GGTACCAAAAAAAAAAAAGAGAGAGATACAAGTTAAGTAAGGCTGGGGATTTGGCTCAGTGGCACTGCACCTACCTTGCAAGTGCAGAGTTTGATCCCCAGTACAGAAAAAGAAAAAAAAGAGAGAAAGATATAAGGGAAGTAGTGTTGGGAAGAGGATGGTCAGTGGGGAAACAGAAAAGAATGTGTAAACTGTTTTATAGAAGTTTTGCTGCAAAGTGAGAAAATCAGAGAGACAACTGGAGGAGGATGTAGGTTTGAGGTTCTGTTTTGATTTTTGCTTTTTATTTTTATAGATTGGCAAAAATTAGGCTAACAAAGAAAATACTTAAAGAGAGTGGTTGAGGATAAAAGGGTGGAGGGAGTAACGGGTGGAGCAGGGGCCCTAAGGAGACAAGATGGGTGGGATGGTTGGATGGATGCAGCGCTTTGGTAGAGGGAGAGAGAAAGAAAGGAGAGGGGTGGGTGTGGACAGAGATAATATGGAGAGAAGGAAGAGGAAATATGAGGACGTTCTTGCCTAATGGCCTATAACTTTATTAAGCCCAAGACTAGATCTTCTGAGAACAGGTGGAGGAAGAGGTGGGAGGGTAAGGAGCTTGGAACTGTAGACTTCCCAAGAAGGGGCTGGTCACGGCTAGTGAAGAGTTTAGCATGTAGGTCTTCTGTATGAATGCTGGGTTGCTTGGGAGTGAAGGTTGGATCCTGGATTTCTGGATTTCTCCCTTGTGCTCCAACAAAGCTTTTCACTCTTCACTGAAACTCCCTGCTTGCTTGCCTCCCTCTGCCTGCCAGGATGTAAGCACCTTGAGAAAAAGGACTATGTCTATATATTAACCAGTGCCACCTCCAGTGCCTGGCTTGGAGTTGGCACCCAGGACATCTATTTAATGAACCATGTCGAGTTAACGGACATTAAAGTGCTTCTTATGCACAGTATGTTGGACATCAGTTTACCAGCACCTGCTGTGAACATGGAGACACTGACCTTGGAGTTGCCTGGTAGCTGCAGGGTAAAAATGCAGATGTGTGTCAGTGACTCAGAACAGGAAAGGGTGGCTGACAGCAGCACAGAGGCAGGTAGTGGAGGAGGGCAGAAGGCCTGATCTCAGAAGAAGAAAAGTGGCTTAGAAACAGGAGTGGGGAATTTAGAGAAGGGTTTCTACAGTGTGGGGAAGTGGGCGGCAGCCTCTTAATCCCCTCAGGATGGGGGCTTAGTGCCAGGTTTCACCTGGGGGCAGAATTTAGATGGAATTGTTTGGGCTGAAATAAAATTCTTTATCCTGAGGGTAAAGAGAATCTCTGAATCATCTGACCGGTTTGAATTGTTTCGAGGTCTTGCCTCTCGCTCTGGCAGTAGGATGGAGTCAGCCTGAGGAGAGTTGGGAAGCTGTTGCTGTAATTCCTAAGGGATGGGGGTATAACATGAAAGTGGCGCCAGTGCCGGTGGAGCTAAATGGCCTTGTCTGAGGGCATGTTAGGAGTGTGACTGGCAGAACCCAGCAACAAACATTCAGATAAGGAGAGCAAGGAACTACTTGCTTTATGCCCAAGACAGCTCTCGAGTGACCAGGAAGATGGTGGCCCACGCTCGAACATAGGACCAGCACAGGGACAAGGAAGAGGAGGGATGAGTTCTTCATAGGATTTGTGGATGTGAAGAGCCTGTGATGCACACCCGTGAGGAGTCCGCTGGTCGCTTAAGTACAGGGATGTGGAGCCCAGGAGGGGACCCAGGCTGAGGTTTAGGATTTGGGAGCCGCCCCCCGACAGAGGCACTGACAGTGATGGAGGGGGTGAGGCCCCCAGGAGGTTACGAAGCACGAGGAGAGAACTGAGCCCTGCAGAAGGATCTGCACATGTGCACAGGAGGAAGCAAAGTTCCAGGAGTAGAGCCAGGAGGGCGGGGTTAGGAAAGGCATTTGAGAAGGGAGTCCTCTTCTATGGACTGCAAGCCGGCGTCTGGATTTGACAAGAGGCTGCGGGTGACACTGTAGAGCACAGGGGACAGCAGGCCAGTGCCTTTGGCTTAATGGAGAGAACTTGGACTTTGTGGAGTTACACTCAAATCTGAGTTTAAATCCCATTGCCATTCCTTTTAGCCATGAGGCCTTCATTAATAAGCAAAACTTTTAAAACCTGAGTCTCTTCCTCTGAAAATTGGGGACAGTAACTACAGAAGCTCTTAGAATTAGATAAAACAGGGCTGGGGATGTAGCTCAGCCAAGGCTATGAGTTGGATCCTCAGCAGTGCCAAAAAAAAAAAAAGTAAAAATGAAAGAGAATTAAGCCAAGCATGGTGCTGCATGCCTATAATCCCCACACTCTGGGAGGCTGAGGCAGGAGGGTCACAAGTTGAAGTTCAGTCTGGACGACTTAGCAAGATCCTGTCTCCAAATAAATGGGCTGGGGTTGTAGCTCAGTATGAAAGCCCTGGATTCTATCTCCAATATTTTTTTTTTAATTGAAAAATTTTTTAAATTTTTGGGTTTTTTGAGATAGAGTCTTTTATGAAATTTACGCTGGTTTTGAGCACCTATGTAGCCAAGGCTGTCCTCAAACATGCAGTGATCCTCCTGCTTCAGCCTTCCAAGTGCTGGGATTACAGGTATGTGCCACCAGGCCTGGCTTAAAAAATAATTGTATACACATGTTGTGGTGTGGAGCTACCTCTTTCCATATGAAAAATATAAAAACTAAAAAAAAAAGTCTTCTTTCACCTTTCTCTTTCCCTTTACCAGGAAAAACACATGCTTCCCCTTTTATTTTGATAGTCAAAAAATTTAGATATAAAAAAATTTATCCCAGCAACAGACTCTTGAAATTAGCACATTTCTCTCCTTTTCCCACTGTTTTCTTCTTTGAATTCTTTTAAGATTTTGTTTTGGGCTGGGGATTTAGCTTAGTGGTTCTGCCACCTGCTGCACAAGCACAAGGACCCGAGTTTGATCCCAGGTACCAAAAAAAAAAAAAAAAAGAGTTTGGGGAATTTATTTTATTTTGTTTGTAGTACTGGGAATCGAACTCAGTGCAAACCCTCTACCACCGAGCTACACCTCCAGCCCCATCATTGTTTTTTCAGCCTTCACCAAATCTCACACTGAAGGAAAGTTGATATAAAAATAAATAATAATTGGCACTCCATTAAACATGACTGCTGCTCTTTATCTCCCCCAGCTTCCACAAACCTCAGTGACATAACACTAAATAAAAAGTCACAAAAGTTCAGGGAAAGAGGCAACAACACATGGAAGGATTCAACAAATATTTGGAAGGTAGGAGGCAAATGGGGGAATGTTAACCGGCTTGGCTCGAAGCTGAGGAAATTACAAACTAGGTACCAACAAGAGGAAATGAACAACAGGAAGTGAGGCAGTCCCTACTTTAACCTCGAGGAGACCTAATGCTCGGAATCACGTAACCAGAGAAGGTAAAAAGTGAAGGTGTGGGCTGAGCACAGGCATTGACAGCTCCATGCAGAGCACTTTGCCTCCACTCCAGAGCCCCAACCCGCAGCAGCTGAGCAACACTTCAAACGCTTGGGTACATAAGATGAAGGAAAGTGGACCCTGGAGGCTTCCATCCTCATGGACCTCAGGCGTAGTTGAAAGGCCACAGATGATATACAGGGTGGAAAACTGAGGGATAGAGGAAAAGTCGTGCAGAGCTCGGCCCTTTCCCCTACCTCCAGGGTTCAAACAGCCAAGTGTTTATCTCACTCACTCTCCCTGGAGACCCTAGTGACTGCAGAAGAGGGAAAAATAACCTCCACTAACTAAATTTGTTAATTCTTCAATGAAAAGACTAGCTGTTTCCTGATAAATTTCCAAAAACTGAAGAACACAGCAGCTAATTTTTAGAAGCCCAGCAAGGATATAGTACAGTAAATGAAAAAGACCTGCACCAAGGCACACCATCATACACTTTCAGAAAAACCTTCAAAGGCACAGGATTCAAAATGACATCAGACTTCTCATCAGCAACAGCAAATGGTAGGCAACCTCATTTCTAACACCAAGTCACACACCCAGTCTCTCCTCCACCTGAGGTCAAAAAGAGTTCCAGACCCTCCAGGACACACACACACACACACACACACACGCAAGAAACTACTAGAGAATGTGCTTCAACAAAACAAGGGAGTAAAGCAAAAAGGAAGATGTGAGACGCAGCATAGAAGAATGGCAAAAGGAAACCCTAGGACATTAATGTACCAGGCTTAGTGAGCAGTGACTAAAGGAGAAAAACCAAGATCTGTGCAACTCAAGTCTCCAGGGAAGAGCTGGAACTGGTCGGCTAGGGTTGAACATTTAGAAAAATTTCTGCTACACATTTGGTGCTTTTGAAGAGAAAGAAAAAAAAACCCTAGGTACTTAGAACTAAATGAAAAAAAAAGGGTTATGATTAATTCCAGGTAAAATCAAGTTGTAAGAAAAATAAAATGTAATAGTCTACTATTTGAGTTAAGAGTTTATTTACTTTGTCAATAATGTAAACACTGCTGATGGGCTGGGGATTTAGCTCAGTAGTATGGCGCCTGGCTCACAAACACAAGGTCCTGAGTTCAATCCCTGGTACCCAAAATGAATAAATAAATTAAATAAATAAATAAATAAACACTCCTGATTTAACTCTAACTTATGGGAAACTACACTGTGAGGACAGAATAGAGAAAGTGGGGGAGATAGAGTCATACAAGAGAACTAATTCCTTAACTGCCATAATATTGTCAAAAGCTGATAAGTCATAGTAGTGTACTCCAGCCACCACAGACTTGGTGGCCTAAGCGGTAGAGACTGATTAGCTCCCAGGCTGGAGGCTGGCAGACTGATATCCGGGCATTGCAGGGCTGGTTTCCTCTGAGCCACCGCCTCCTTGTGCCTTCACCTCCTCTTCCTTCAGTGTGTGTCTGGGTCCTATACACCTCTCAAAAGGATGCCAGATGTATTGGATAAAGGCCCACCCTAATGACCTCGTTTTACCTTAATTATCTCTTTAAAGACCCTGTCATATTCCAAGGTACTGAAGAGTTCAGACTTCAACAAATGGAACTGGGGAAGACCCGATTCAGCCCATAACAAGTAGTATAAGCCTATTATTTGGAAATACAGAAAGAGGTAAACACCAGAAGGCATAGCCAAGAAGCCAAGAGGGCCGATCATGGCTGCCTTTCTGCAGGGAGCCTGGAAGGTGGCATATGATAAGGCAGGTACTATTTTAATTTTTTACTAAGTATCAAGTCACAGAGCTGAGCCTTGAACCCAGTCTGGTTCCAGACCTTGTGCTCCTTCACTACCACACAACTCAGTGTCTCCCACGGCACCTGGCACAGAGCCGCCTGATGGGCCATCACTACTTTAGAGTTGCATTAGCATCACTGTGACCTTGAAAGCTGCCTCTTGGTTTTTCTTTTCCAGTGTCAAAACTAGAAGACTGAAATGCAAGGAATCTTGGAGACAAGGGCTTAATACAGACTGTCCTGCCTAGAGTTTCCTGCGCTGGTGTCCCGGAACTGTTGGGTGTGTATCTGATTTCACTTTGAGTCTTGATCCTACAAAGGGTCCATCCTGACAAAGCTAATGCTGGTGTCTCAACCTCCTCCTCTCTGGGGTCTGGAACAGCCTCTCACCCTCATTTTCTGAGGCCCGGTTGGCTGTTGGAGGTGGCCACAGCCTCTGAAAGTATTCTCAGGTTTAGGCCTATCATGGGATTCACAGTGATTGATGGCTTCATCTCACACCAGAATTTGGTCATTTGTGTTTAGGCTGGTGTGCAGTTGTTCAGCCTGCTCTTAAGTCTGACAGGATCTTGGGGTGGCCTTCCTGACGCCCTTCAGAGCACACACATCCAGTGACCTCTGAGAGTTGTAGAGGTTGGTATGTATGTGTGTCTGTCTCTTCATGCCTCACGTTATTACTTCCTAATAAAACCCTGATAGCTGAGCCCCATCAATATCTCAAATACATGTGAGGAAACGTTAATTTAGAATCAATTTTAGGATGTTTCAGACTGTAAAGTCCTTTTAACTAGATCTCTGGCAAAGATGTAGAAGCACTTTATGGGACTGTAAATTTCATGTTGAACAGTCTTTGTGAAATACATGTCTCCCCTACACACAAGCTGTTCTCTCCATATCAATCATAGCCCCTGCAAGTAATGTTTCACAAATATTCTGTAAATCACAGAAAACCCCATGATAATGTGAAATATGACTTTCACTTGTCTGTTAGACAAAAGAATCACACATGCCTCTCTCCCATCAGCACTAACATTTGTTATGGATAATAACACTTTCAATCACAACTATTTTTGGAAAACGGGTTTATTTTAAACCTTCCCTCCCCCACTGAAAACACTCTCCCAAGGACACAGACTCCTACAAACCACAGCCCATTAATCCAACTATGGAATAGGAACTGTTTTTTAACACTAACTTTTTTTGAAAGTTGTTTTGAAGAATTATTGTAAAACCCTAGGTACAAAGTTAAGGGGCACTTTGCCTTAGCAGGTTGGCATAAGAGGGGGCTAGATCTCTAAAGACCCCAAATCTCCGACCCTGTGTGAGAAAAGCTGTGAGAGAGGCCAGGTTCCTAGCAAGCACCTTCATTCTCAACTTGATACTGTGGTCTTTCCATTGCTAGCATCACCAGGAAAGCCTTTAACTCTTTAAGAGTAGACATTTGAGCCAGGCATGGGGATGCTGAGGCAGAAGCATTGCAAGTTTGAGCCCAGCCTATAATACGTACTGAGGCCCTGTCTCAAAACAACAATAAAACCCAAATTAAAAAGAACAGACATTAACTGGACACGGAGGCGCATGCCTATAATCCCAGGACTCTGGAGGCTGAGGCAGGAGGATTGTCATGAGTTCAAAGTCAGCATGGGCTACACAGTGAGTTCAAGGCCAGGCTGAACTACATAGTGAGACCCTGTCTCAAAAAAAAGAACAATACAAAAAAACATTTACTACCTTATGTTTTTTTTGTTTTCAGGGATTGAACACATGGCCTCATGCATGCTGGGCAAACACTCTACCACTGAGCTACATCCCCAGCCTTTCATTTTGAGATGGGGTCTCATTAAATTGCACAGGCTGTCCTTGAACTTGCAGTCTCCTGGCTCAGCCTCCCAAGTAGCTGAGATGACAGGCATGTGCCACCACGCCCAGCTACCTTCATGTTCTTAATTCCATTGTAACCCATTGAGAGCCTCCTTGCTCAAGTAGCCTCTGACCGGCCCTAGAGTGAATTTTACATGTAACTATACACAGCTAATCAGCAGAAATGCAAAACTCACCAAAGGATGGATTTGCATGGTCCTAAATATGCTAGTAACCTGTCTATTTTCCCTTTCTCTGTTGCCACCCCCAGGACTCATTGATCATGACTTCTATAAAGGAGCAGGCAGCAATTGGCAGGCTTTTAAGTTTCTTACAAGAGTGGGACAATGCTGGCAAAGTCGCAAGGGGTCACATCCTCGACAATTTCGTTGAAACCAACCAAGGCAAGACTGGCCCTGAATTGGAGCATGAATTTTCCCAAGGAGCCAGTTTGTTCCTTGTACGCTTGACCACCTACCTTAGAATCACGTATCCTTTGGTAAACAGAAAACAGACAAACAAAAGCAATCTTCCAAAAATATAAAGAAAGTTGTTGAAGGAGCTCTTCCCCTGATTCTCTCTAATATTTTAGAACAGGACACCTGGTGATAAAAATATCCCAAAAGTCAAAACTCTATAGGGCCAGGGATTTAGCTCAGTGGTTCCACTGCCTGCCTTGCAAGTGCAAGCTCCCAAGTTCGATCCCCAGTACCAAAAAAAAAAAACTCTATTGACTTCCTGTCATTCTCACCTCCCGTTCTTTTTTTCCCCCTTCCCATCAAAGCTGAAGTAGCTACTCCTTTTGTCTAGGACTAATTTGTATTTGTTCTGCACTTGAATCCCTTTCCATCTCCTTATAGGTTTTATTTTTCCTCTCTTATAGCTTTCTCCATCACTTCATTACCAGCTTTTTTCATCAGCAAATATGCAGAAATCTCTTCTACTTTAAAACATGGATTAAATCACTGACTCGAAACTTAGTTCCACCCAGCTCCTGCCCATCATGGTGATGCTTGCTGAGAAGGTTCCTGATGCTCCCTGGCTCTCCTCCCCCTCCCCTGCTTTCTCCCCTGTGCTCTGCCTTCTGGATTCTGTTCCCCTCACCCCCCTGGTGCAGGTCTTGCCAAGGTTACCCATGGTTTTCTCCTCGTAAAGCCCAGTGACTCCATCTGCATTCCTTACACATGACCTCTCAGTGGCATTTTTCACTGTTCCCATCTCTGCCAATTCTCTCTGCTCCGTGATCACAGTTCTCTTGGTTGCTCCTTTCTTTCTGTCCTTTGCTTCTCTTCTTCAGCCTTCCCTTAAATGTTCCTTGAGACTCCACCCACATCCTCTTCTCTGCTCACACATTCTCCCTGAGTAGTTGAATCCATTGTCAGGATGCACACACCACACCAGCTGGAGGAGCTTCCAAATTTTCCCCTGGAATCTGAGCTCCATATCTATGAGATATGATCAAAATATACAATAAATGCTTTAAAATTTTAAATTATTACAGTAAAAAGTATATTGCCAATAATCTCCCTTAAAATACTTCCCCAGATTTTTTTGTTTTTGTTTTTTGTTCCCCTGGCTTTGAACATATTATCCCATCATTCTTGCCACTTTTTTTTTTTGGTACCAGGAATCAAACTCAGGACCTTGCGCTTGTCGTGCAGGTGCGGTGCCACTGAGCTAAACCCCTGACCCGTTCTTGCCACTTTTGAAACAGTTCTGGAAATCTTCTTTCATGAGTGTTTTTACAAAATGTGATCAACAGTATGGTGAATACTGCGGCCAAGTGGCATCCAATGGAAAGGCAAGCTGGTAAATTATGGTGCATCCTCCTCGACCTTATTCACCAGACCTGGCACTGTGAGGTTTCTGCCTCTTCTCCAAAGTCAAAATGACCAAGAAAGGTAAACATTTTGAATCATTTCAGAACATGGAAGTGGCCAAAAACACACAAATGCCACAGGATGACTCTCATATTTCCAACTTGGGAAACTGGGTGAACATAAAAAAGAAACAAGTTCGGGTGTAGCTGAGTTTGATTTGGGAGATGGTGAGTTTGAGGTGTTTGTGTTCAGGAGCCCTGGAAACAGATAGGGCTTGAAGGCATATTTTGTCACCATTGAGGTAACACTTTTTGTTTGTTTGTTTGTTTGTTTGTTTTTTTGGTACCGGGGATCGAACTCAGGTCCTTGTGCTTGCAAGGCAGGTGGCAGAACCTCTGAGCTAAATCCCCAGCCCTGAGGTAACACTTTGAACTAGGGGTAGGCGAGGATATTCTTGCTCTATGTTCTCATGGCACTTCAAGGACTCAACAAAGACCCTTTGTATTTTTCTCCCTGCCTGAATCCTTTCCTATTCAGTAAGCGCCCTCCTTATATGACTAACTCCTACTCCCTTATTCAGGTTTTTTTAATTTTTTATTTTATATTATTTTATTTTATTTTACTTGAGACAGGATCTCATTCTGTAATTCAGGCTGACCTTAAACTCACTATGTATCCCAGGCTGGCCTCAAACTCATGGTGATCCTCCTGCCTCAGTCTTCCAAGTGCTAGGATCACAGGCATGTGCCACCGTGACTGGCTCAGGTTTTTTTTTAAAAAAAATAATCTCAGGGCCAGGGATTTAGCTCAGCGGTTCCGCCACCTGCCTCAAAAGTGCAAAGTCCCAAGCTCAATCCCCAGTACCAAAAAAAAGTCTCAGTTGCTAAATTGCCCACACTTGGACTCAAACTTGTGATCCCCCTGCCTCAGCCTCCCAGAATGCTGGGATTACAAGCGTGCACCACCATGCCTAGCCATCAGGCCTCAATTTAAACATTGCTTTTTTATTTAAAAAAAAAGTCTTGGGATCACTACCATGCCCAGATGATAGTCTTTTGAATTAGAGATTCCACTTTTTCTCCCCAGCCCTCCAGTTGTGGTGTGTTAGAAGAAAACAGATCCATATGGCATCATGATCTCCTGCAGAACTATCACATAAGCCTAAATCTTTTTGTTAGTCTTCCAGAATAGATCAGTAACTAAAAGTTTATATATTATAATTGACAAAACTATGAATTGCCACTTATTGAGTCTTTTTATGTTCTAAGTACTGGACAAATATTATCTCATTTAACCCTTACACTCAGCCTAATAGGGGGTTGCTGTTATCTCATTTTTATAGATAAGGAAGGTGAGGCTTGGAAAAATTGAGTAATTACTGGTAAATAACAGAGATGAGGCTTAAAATGGGTTTATCTGGCCAAGGATTTAGCTCAGTGGTTTTGCCGCCTGCTGAGCAAGCACAAGGACCTGAGTTCGATCCCCGTTACCAAAAAAAAAAAAGGATCTATCGGGCCCAAAGCCCATGACAGGCACTATAGTGGACAGTGCAGACCCACAGCTCCCCCTACAACAGCACACAGGGTTGGGAATGGGGTCATCGCAGAAAAAGCTGAAGAGCCCCGCCCCCTCGCTTTGGCCACAGGCAGGAAGGCAAATGCTCAGGCTGAATTAGGCTTCCCGGTTCAAATCCTAGTTCAATCGGTAGCCTTCGGTTGCCTCCTGTTGCTTACGATGTAAATGCAAATACTAATCGCGCCCACTGGAGGGCTGTAGTGAGCAAGGCAGTGCCTGGCCCATAGTAAATGATGGTGTACTTACTAGCTTCTACAGACACTTCGGCAACCTTCTAGAGCTAATTGTTGGAAATAATGGACCAGAAATATGTACAGCGTGTGGCTATGCAAACAAGAGTAGCCTGGGACAGAGGAAAAAGAAGGTGACAAAGGTTGGTCGACCTAGCTGGTAGCTGAAGAAAAGCAGAGAATGCACTGAGGCAGGGACAGGGGGCAGAATTTGGGGATGCAGGGAAGGGACAGTGCGGCAATAAAGAGACTACCATGTGGGCTGAGCACCTGGCCCCCCGCCACAGCAGCAACAGGCAGGGGAGCCTGGCTCCAGAGCAAACACTGCTTTCGCAGTAAAGAGCCTTTCCTAATGAGCCAATCTGTCTCTACTTCTATTGGCATCCTGGGAACCAGGGTGCAGCAGAGATAATTTGCCTCACACCCCCACGCTCCCCCCAACAAAGCACCATTACCTCCAACCCATTACATTATCCTTTGTCAGTCTTGGATGCTCTCAGTCATCCTCCATGAGCTGCAATAATTTCAGCTAATTTCTTAAGTGTTCTAAGAGCCTGTGATGTGTTATGAGCCTAGTAATTGTTGACTGGTTCCCTTTCTGTTGTGGCTTGATTTCATACCTTGTATCTGCGCTGATGCGTGCTCTGGGTGCTTTATTACAATGAGGCTTTTTGCAAAGGCTCACATTAAAAAATAACATTAAATACTGAGGTTGTTTTAAATCAGGGTTTAATTTTTCCACCATCTCCTGTTATTCTTATTAAGAAGCCATGCAATTCTTCATAATAGTGACCTCCAGTGTAAAACTTTGTATAAGTATGAAATTGAGAATTAACGATGACGCTAGTTCTTTTTAAAGAAGTCTAGGAATGAGGCTTGAAATAGCAAACTATGTTGAGGCCCAGGGGAGCAATGGTCATAGCCTAGAGAGGTTTGGGAAACTGACCCTCAGTTTCTCCTGTACCTTTGATCGTTTAAGCCTTGCTGTAGGGAAACTTCCTGGAGAACAAGGAACAAACCCGCACCCTTAATGCTCCCACCTCGGTGCTGCCCCTTCCCCTTAAGCTAGTGGCTCCTCTCAGGGTAAAGAGTACTATTCACCTGCCTGGTCATCCTGGGATTGGGCACAAGATCTGAGTTTGGTGGGTTTTTTGTTTTGTTTTTGGTACTGGGGATCGAACTTGGGTCTTTGAGCTTGGGAGGCAGGCAGCAGAACCACCGAGCTAAATCCCCAGCCCCAGCAACATCTTGAGTTTTGCATGAAAAAACACCTGAAATGTACTCTTTAACTTGCTGTACAGATATATGACTGGCTTAGGTTTAGAAAAGCTCCTGAGATCCATTGGCATCTTCTTATCAGCTGTGAGCAGGTGAGTTCCATTTAGATTCTGGGGTCTCCATGGCATATCAGGCTTGAGGTGTCCTTGGCATTCACCCTGCACAGCACCATGGATTCTAGATTATCAGCAGGTGCCTGGTGAGTCTTGGGATGGGCCCAGAGGGAGCATTCCCAACAGTCCCATCCCAGTTGTTCCTCCTCCCCACATTCCCTGTGACCCTTTAATAGTCAGCACCCCCTCAGATATGAATTCTAGAAAAGCAGCTCCTGCTAGACTTGGGAAAAGGGAATGTATTGGCTCTTTCACTGAAAAGCCCAGAAGGTGGAAATTTTCACTGAAAACCCCAGAATGTATGTCAGTCCTGACTAGATCCAGGAGCCCAAACAGCATTATTAATTCTCATTCTCTTCCTTCCTCCTTTCCTGTTTCTCAATTTCTTCTCCTCTGTATTTAGACACCGCTGTGTTCTGGGATCCTCTGGTGTTCCAGATACACATACTTATTCCTCAGCCCCGCTGACAAGAGAGCATATCTTTTTCAGGGGATCCCAAGAACATCCTGACTTTTGAGCCTCATTAGACCCACCTAGGTCACAAGCCTGGCACCAAATCAGGTTGGACAGTCAGAAGGATAACCTGCCTTGTCACTTGCTTGCCTCACCAAAATCACAGGGCCCATGAGTGGGGGAGGCATGATTCCATAAGGGACAACTGAGTGCCATTAAAAGAAAAGGGACAGAGGCTGGAAAGCCAAAAGTAAGAAATGTTCATTATGTTTAATTCCAGCATTTCCTGCTGGAAAGAAGAATTTCCAAACTATTGCATCCCGTTATTTATAGCCATTTCCTGGATAGGAAGCAAAGTATGTGTAGAAGGGAGCTTGGGATGGCTTAGAAAGGTTTGTGCCAAGGAATTTGATAAGTGTTTTATTCTTACTATTCACCCACCCCCAACAGTAATCGATACCTGATAGAATTTCTTGAGGTTGGAGGTGTCCTAACACTCTTGGAAATACTTGGGCTAGAGAAGATCAAGGAAGAGGACAAGAAGGAATCCATCAAGCTTCTGCAGTTTATTGCAAACTCTGGCAGGAAGTACAAGGAGCTCATTTGTGAAAGCTACGGTGGGTACTGTGTATGACTAGGTGCTGATTCCATGTCTCCCTAGGGGCCTGGGTAGATTGGCAGCAGCACCCCCTACTGCTGTGGAGAAGAAAAAACAGTAGAACGGATTGTACAGGAGGCATTTTGTACAGTGGACTCAATTAGTTTCTGTGCCCATCACCACCAGAAAGCCAGATTTATGATTTCCCTGATTGATTATTTGCTCAAGTCTTTCAAGGGTAATTTGAGAAATACCTCTCCATTTTAAATATATCCTCTTCCACACATCTATCCTCCAAAGGTTTATTAACTCTTGCTTAAAATCCTGTGTGAAATTGAGCGTGGATAACTCTAGAGATAAGATTGAAATAAAATTATTGAATGCCTACTTTGTGCAAGGTATATGCAAAAGTGCTAAGGATACAAAGATGAATAAAATATAATCCCTGTCCTCAAAGAGCTTACAGTATGGTGCTAAAGATGACAACAATCATAGTAATTTTAGTAATCAATTAAGTGCTCACTTTGAGGCACATAAAGAAGAACCCATCACCTATGCAGCCGCTTTCCAAAGTACTTCCACCCTGCACTCCCCACAGAGGTCTCCTTTCTTCCTCTCTGAACCTCAGTGTCTTTATTCATTGAATGGGATGGATATATCCCTCTCACTGTAGTTTCTGGAGTTAAATGAAAAATTTTTTTTCAATACTGGGAATCTAACTCAGGACCTTGGGCTTGCCAGGCAGGCACAGCACTGCTGAGCTGCATTCCTGCCCCTTCTGGGGTTAAATGAAGTAGTGTTTGGCAAAAACATTTTGTAAACTGCTGAGCACTCTATAAATGCTATCATCTAGTAGTAAATATATATGTTTCATTTGTATGTTTTGCAGAGCCTTTTTGGTTTCATTTCATTTCATTTCGTTTCATTTTTTGAGCAGGGTCTCACTACGATCTTGAACTCAATATAGCCCAGGCTGGCCTCGAACTTGTAGAGATCTTGATGCCTCAGCCTCCTGAGTACTGAGATTACAGGCTGCCACACCCAGTGCCATTTTAAATTTTAAAACACAGATTCTGACATGCCTGTGCTGAAGCAAAATCCTCTGGTCACACAGCTAGCGGTGAATAAGACATTTAGCTCAGTGGTTCCGCCGCCTGCCTCACAAATGTACAGTCCCGAGTTTGATCCCCGGTACCAAAAAAAAAAGAATTACAGAAAACCTAGCCTCAATTTTTGCTTCGACTGAACAGCCTTGGTTGAAAAGATCAAATTGTCTTCACATTATGTAATCTTGAGTGGGGATCATTTTCCTAAATCCCTTCCAATGTAGCACTTTCTTGTCTTTCCCCAGGTGTACGATCTATAGCAGAATTTTTGGCAAAGTCTAAGTCAGAAGAGACCCAGGAAGAAGTGCAGATTCTGCTGGATTCTTTGGTCCATGGTAACCCCAAGTACCAGAACCAGGTATACAAAGGTCTGATAGCTTTGCTGCCCTGCACCTCCCCGAAAGCTCAGCAGCTGGCCCTGCAGACTCTCAGGACTGCTCAGGTGAGCCCAGGCTGCCTGTTTCTGTGGTCGTAAGGAAACTTGGTGGTCTCACAATTACCTTCTGCAGCTGTGCTTCCCACAGGCACGAGAAACAGCACAGCCACCCACTGCCTGTCTGCCGTTCAGTCAGTGTCATTCCCACAAGGGCAAGGTGGGCCAGACAGTTCATGTCGCCCAGCAGAGTGATTTGTCCTGTTTACTTAAGGATCAAAAAGGTGTTGACAGACTTCAGAGTAGTTGAGACAAACAAGGATGATAAGAAGACTGTAGAAAAGATTAAAGGTGTCGATTTGATAGGGAGAGAATCATGGTGCATTTGTAGCCAGCCGGTAAGTGAAGAGGCCAGATCTCTACTGCTTGGAAAGGTTCCTTTTTTCTTGTTGGCTTCTGGGCCTCTCTCAGTGCCCTGGAAAGCACAGGAGGACAGTATGCCTAGTGAGGAGGAGAACCATCAAAAGCTCTCAAAATGACTCCAGGTGGCTAGAGGCAGGGAGACCATGAAAGGTGACACAGATAAGGCCCAGGCAATGGCAGTGGGAATTGAGGTGACCAGGTTGGAGGGATATTTTTGAGGTAGAGGCCCTGGGTCTAAGGGAAGTAAAAGAAATCAAAATTGACACCCATCCTTGGGATTAGCTAGCAGAGTGAGTTGTACCACCACTAAGAAAGAGCAGGAAAGCTGAGCATGGTGGCACATGCCTGTAATCCCAGAACTCTGGGAGGCCGAGTTCACAAGTTTGAGCCCAGCCTGGGCCATTTAATGACTTAATGAGACCCTGTGTCAAGGCCTTGGGTTCAATCCTAGTACTACACACACACACACACACACACACAAATCAGTGTAATTTGGGAGTTAGGTTGTAATCCAGAAAACTTGATAGCTCCTGGTGGTTCCCAGTGCCCTCCTGAAGAGCAGGCCAATCTGGTTGCAGACAACAGAAGTGAACTGAACCTAGCACCTCACTCCCATAGAATCTGACCACTGTTAGGTGGCCCCTGGCAATGCTTTTTCCATTGAAGCTCCCCCAGGCGATCCTCATTCCTAGCTCCATTGAGGAAGCACTGTCTGGAACAACAAGGAGAGATGCGCACGGGCAGTAGAGAATAAAAGCCTGAACCTCCAGAGAAAGGCCCTAGAAAAAGATGTCAGTGTGAACTTTGTAAGCAGAAGAGTGAAGACTGAAACAGAAGGAAATAAGATCTCTAGGCAGAATACATCAAATCAGAGGACAGGAGAGGGGCCCCTCTGAGAGCCAAGCAATGAGCTGAGGAGGAAAGAGCACCAACATGGATCTGATCGTCACAGATACAGTGTTTCCAGTTTGCCCTAAGTGCCTCCTATATGCCAGGCACTGTGTGGGGAGCTTGTCTACCCTCATTTAGTCTGCACAATAGCTGATGGAGGCAGCATGGGTAAAGTTTGAAGGGGTAGGAAGCGGGGTTGATGGGTAAGTTTCCCAAGAAAGAGAAGATTTTACGAGTTTGGAAGATTCCTACTGTCCCTGACCTGTGGTCCTCCCTCCCCCAGCCACCGTCACAGACTTTGTTCCTGCAGCTCTAGCAGGTGGCCGCCTGTCCTTGGCTTAACATGTCCCGAGCCAAAGGGTTGGGTGGCAACCTGGGCAGATTCTCAGCCACATGCTGGCTGCCCATCTCTGCCCTCCCGCTTATGGGGAGGACCTCCCCCGCCCATTTATCTCAGCACCTGGCTGTTTGGAAGTCCCAGTTTGATTTCTCCCAGGTGTACAAGATCTGAAGAGTAACTACCTTGTCCTCGTGTCTGTCTTGTCAGTTGATCGTCGGAACCACGCACCCCAGCATCGTGGACTGTGTGCTGAAGGTGCTGGGCACGATGCACCTGGAAGTCCAGTACGAAGGTAGGGGCTTCCTGTGGTTATGGAAGGTGCAGTGAGTACGTGATATATTATGAGAAGCATCTGAATTACTGGTGATAGCTGGAGCAGAGTGTCCTAGGTGTGGGGAGGAGATGCTTGAGCAAAGGTCAGGTCCCCCACACAGAGAGCTATGGCAGGGAACACGGGAGACCTGGCATGGACTGACACAACCCCAGAGAGTGATTCCTCGGATTCCTCCTCTGCTCACCTCAGGCCTGGAGTACAATGAGTGCTCCTTAGGAGTTTGTTGGACAGATTTATAACACGGTTTAGCTTCAGTCATGCTGATGAACTCCGGAGTTGGAGCTGGCCTCAGCCTCTTCTGGTCTTGGCTCAGTTTAGAGCCCCTCTGCCTTTCTTCACTAACAGCAAACACTGCAACAGAGGCAGTGGGAGCCCGAAGCTTTGTCACAGCCTTTTCAGTTGGACATCAGCTCGTGTGATAGCAATGAAACTGTGAACCTCAAAATGGTTTCATGTGTAGCAGACTCATAACAGGTGCTCAAGAAATATCTGTTGATAGAAGGAATCTGTCTCTTTTTTTTTTTGGTACCGAGGATCGAACTCGGGACCTTGAGCTTGTGAGGCAGGCCCTGGAACCACTGAGCTACACCCCCAGCTCAGGAATCTGTCTCTTTTACCGGGCTTTCCAAAATGGTCTTGGTGTTGAGTTCAATTCCCGATATCGGAAAAAAAAAATGTGCTTAAGCAAAACCGTCTTGGTGTAACTCCAGATGGAGAGGGTGCATATGTGAGGATTGTCCACTAGGAGGAGCTGTTTCACCTGATCGGCACAGAGAGTTAACCAGAGAGAGAGAGAGACAGGAGGTTTCCACGGTGACAGGGAAGGAGGGCTGGCCAGGTCCCAGAGGGGGTCCTAACTGCAGGTGGCCAGAAAGGATCTGAGAGAAATTTCTCAGGGCTTGAGGTCACCAAATTGCAAAACCGACGGAAGCCCATAGGATGCAAAACCAACAGAAGCCCATAGGATGATGGCATTAAAGAAGCCTGTGCCCAAGTGGGGCCTGGGAGGCACGATGAGGAGAATCAGTGGGTAATTACTGGAGTTGAGTGGCTGACCCTGAAAGGGCATGATAGGCTTTGTTTTGTTGTTTGAACAAATACATATTTAGTATCTGTGGTGTGCCCAGAACTGTGTCAGCTACTGCGTCCGTGCGCGCATGCGTACGTGTGTGTGTGTGTGTGTGTGTGTGTGTGTGTGTGTGTAGAAGAAGAGTGATGGTTAGTAGGGAAGAAGAGTGTCCCTGCTACCTCCCATACTGGAGGGGAAGGAGCTTCCCAGGCAAGAGTCAGGGGAAAGCCAGTGGTGGAAAGGCTCAGGTGCTGGGTGACGGTCACCTTACAGTGGTGTCAGTGATACAGAGACAGCTGAGAGCCTCCCCTCCTCTTTCACCGACCCCAGGTCTACCAGCCTCCTGCCCCGCAATGTCTGCTCCTTCCCATGACAGCAGTGTCCCTGTTCCTATTGTGACCACCCCCTTTCCTCAAGGAGCTCATTCCTGCAGGTAGTGTCTCCCTTTTTCTCTGGTGGATCAGATTCACTGATGTGAATATGCCTGTATCTCCCATCTTGAAAAAGAACCCCTGGGTTTCATCCACAGCCCCTCTGGAGAGGCAGAATGTCCACAGAAAGGCAAAATGCAGTGGTAATCTTCGGGGATGCAGGCCCCTCCTTGATCCCAGCTTCCCCTGCTGGTGTTCATTTTTCCACTTTCTTCCTCCTTGACCTCTCAGTGGCTTCTTCCTTAGTTGCCAGTTCCCCATGTTTTCAGTGACTTCTGTGGTGGACTTTCCCCCAGTTTTCCTCCTGCCTGCTGGTTTTGCCATAGTTTCTTTCGCTAGTTTCTCCTGTTTCTCTAGCACACTGTCAGGCCAACCTACTTCTAATCTCTTTATCTACACTCTCCCTGAGTGATTTTGTCTAGTTCCATGGTGTTTGTTTTGTTATTGTTTGGTTGGTTTTTTGTTTTTGCTTTTGTTTGGGGGGCCAGGAATTTAGCTCAGTGGTGCCATCACCTGCCTCGCAAGCTCAAGGTCCCAAGTTCGGTCCCTGGGACCAAAAAAAAAAAAGAGAGAGAGATTGCCCTGTTTTTGTTTGGGTACCAGAAATCAAACTCAGGACCTTGTGCTTCCAAAGCAAGCGTGGTGCCACTGAGCTAAATTCCCATTTCCTCTTGGTTGGTTTTTTGAGACTGAGTCTTATTCTGTAATTCAGGCTGGCGTTGAACTCAGTGTAGCCCAAGCTGGCCTTGAACTCACAGTGATCCCCCTACCTCAGCCTCCTGAGTGCCGGGATCATAGGCCTTCACCAACATGCCTGGCTCTAGTACCGTGTTTTAAATGTCATATATAGATAGATGTAAATATAGATATAGACAAATCTGTGTCTCTGGCCTGCATTTTCCTTGATGTCACTGTGTGGATGTCTAATAGATAATTCCAATTTATGGCCACAACAGAACTCATTTTTTTCCCCAAAACCTCTTAGTCCTCCTATGTTTCTCTATCTCATACAAGGTACCCTCAACCTAATTGCTTAAGTAAAACCTGTCAAGCTAGATTGCCTTCTTCCTCTCCCCTCCCACCCCATCCCATCCTTACCAAGTCTTCTAGGCTCAGTCTAACCCACCACCCTCTCTCCTAATTTATATTTTTGGTCCCATTCTGGCCCCTGGTATCTGTTCTACTATTGCAGCCACAATAATCACTTTTAAAATATAAATTAGGGACTGGGAAAATAGCTCAGTGGCAAAGGACATGCTTGGCACATGCATGGCCCTAGGTTCAGTCCTCAGCACCACATATATGTGTGTGTGTGTGTATGTGTGTGTGTGTGTGTGTGTGTGTGGCACCTAGACTTCCTCTCCCCAAGACCTCGGGTGGACAGGCACTTCCTGTGTAATCTCAGGCATCACCTCTGAGAGAGAATTCCCTGACCCCCCTTTCCAAAGCTCCCCTTTCCCTCCCACCACCGCTCATAGTCTCTCCAGCATTTCACATCATCTACCCTGTTCTTTTCAGCCCAGATCTGACCACAGTCCTGCTGGCTAAGAAGGTACCATGTGTCTTAGGTGACCCTTTATTTCTTGGGAGTTCTTAGGGCCAAGGAAGAAGGTATGGAGAAGGAGGAAAACAACGTGTTTGTCATGTGTGGTGGGACATGCTGCTCGCCAGTAGTCCCACCCCTCTTGGAGGCTGAGGCAGCAGGACCCCTAGTTAGAGCTCAGCCTGGACACTTTAGCAACTTAGTGAGACCCTGTCTCAAAATAAAAAAGGAGTGGGAATGTAATTTAGTGCAAAAGCTCTGGGTTCAATACCTCTGGGGACAGGGAGGTTAAGGAAGAAGGTAAGAGATGATAAAGTCTTTACAAAAGTGAAGGTGAGTCTTCCAGTTACCTACTATTTATAATAAACGGCCCCAAATTCCATGCCATAAAGCTACCCTAAAACATCCACACATTCTGTAAGCCAGGAGTTTGGAGAAGACACAATGGAGCCAGATGGCCTCTGCTCCCTGGAGTCTGGAGTCGCATCTGGGAAGCTGGTAGGGCTCAGGATCATGGATTCTTCCCTATGCCTCAGGCTCCAGTGTGGCTGCACATGGCACTCTTACTAATTCTGTCTTCACTTACGCTGGGATATATTGTTCATCATGAATTTTTGGTCATTAATTTTTTTAAAAGATTACATTGAAGCCAAGTGTGGTGGGACACACCTGTAATCCCAGCACTCAGGAGGCTGAAGCAGGAGGATTGCCATGAGTTCAAGGCCAGCTGGGCTACATAGTGAGTTCAAGGCCAGTCTGAATTACATAGTGAGACCCTGTCTCAAAAAAAAAAAAAAGTAGAGCTTCTGATTGCTCATTCTTGTCCTATTCTTCTTCACTTTGAATAAGAAAGAACCAGGGAAAGGGCACTGACTTCTATGTCCCCCAGGGTGTTAGGGTTTTGTCATAGAATTAAAATTTTAGAATTTCCTTTCAAGATGACCACATTTAATTTAAGCGAGCCAAAAACATGGGAGGACTTCCCCAAAGTGGTCCTGCCTGGAATTTATCTCCCTGCATACTTGCTGTGAAGTGACAAACGGCAGATTGCTGGCAGGGAGGTCGGCTGTTCCAGGAATTAGTGGCAGATGGGACTTCATCAGAACTAGCAGTCTGAGGCCACTGCAAGATTCACTCATTGGTGAGGAGAATTTCAAAGTCATAGAAAGTTTTTCGGAAGAAGTTAATTAATTCTGTTGGTAATGTAAAGTGTGTGTGTGTGTGTGTGTGTGTGTGTGTGTGTACATGGGTGTAAATATATACTATTATCTTTTACAAATACTTTAACCTTAGGAACATAAAAATTACTATATATGATTTATTCAGAAACAGATAAATTCATTGTAAATTGCCAAATACACACTGACCAAAATCAATTGGGCAAATGATCAATTTGCTAAGTGGCCAATTTACCACATTAATGCCAAATATACTTACTGAAAATAGATTTCTTTTTAATATTTGTAAAGTTTATAGCAGCTCATTCTAGTTGTAATCCTAGGGTCTAAAGGCTGAGAGAAGTAGATTCCTTGGGGTCTCAGACTGACCTTTCCTCAGCCCCCTGCCCCTGTTGCTCCTCTGTCTCCCTCCCCGGGCTCCCTTCTCCGTGCCCTCTTCCTGTGGGTGGACACCCTGGCCATGCACTGTGGTGACCTCCAGCAAGTCCCCTTTCTATCCCCCTTCCTGCCACTACACAGAACAGGGCAGAGCCAAAAGAAGAGTCCTTAAAATGCTTCTGAGAAGATAAAAGGAAAGCTATTATGCCCCACAATGAATGCAATCATTATGGATTACAAACATGTACTAATAAAAATAAAAATTTAAAAAGAAAGCTATTGTGTTCAAATTTTGCATAAAGCTACAAAAGTTGTTAAAAATCAGCCAATTAGGGCCGGCGATTTAGCTCAGTGGTTAC